TAAAAACATACACACACACATACACACAAACAAACAAACATACAGACATTCTCGATTAGTTCAGCAACAGCAGCAATTTTTTGCTCTCTGGATTGGATGGCGGTACTGGCCTCATGAAATTTATCCCGCCAACTCATATAATCCTGCTTCGAAAGGATTGTATGCGCGAAACATAAAGTTCGAAGACCTGTATGTATGTGTGTGTGTGTGTGTGTGTGTGTGTGTGTGTAGGTGTGTGTATGTGTGTGTGTGTGTGTGTGTGTGTAGGTGTGTGTATGTGTGTGTGTGTGTACTTGTGTGTATGTGTGTGTGTAGGTGTGTGTATGTGTGTGTTAGTGTGTACATATATATGTGTGTGTGTGTGACTTTTGTCATGTTGTGTGTATACAAGTGCTTGTGTATATATATATATATATATATATATATATATATATGTGTGTGTGTGTGTGTGTGTGTGCGTGTGTGTGTGTGCGTGTGTACATATATATGTGTGTGTACAATGACGTTTGTCATGTGGTGTGTATATAAGTGCTTGTATATGTGTGTGTACTATATAACTACGCTGATGATGACAGTTGATGCCGAAAAGACCTTTTCTGTAGCTTATACATAATTGTATGTGGTTGTATACGTTTATACATGTTTGTACATGTTTGTACATGTTTGTATATGTTTGTATATGTTTTTATATTTTTGTATATGTTTGTATTATGTTTGTATATGTTTGTATATGTTTGTATATTCTTTAACCAACCCAGAGTAGAGAAGTAGTAAATGTGTTCGTTGAGGAGTGCAGCTGCTGGACCTGACGCTGACGATAGCCTCTCTAATATCATGGCGTCCTTTTGGAGATTAGTGGATGGATGGAATGGATGAGTGAATGAATGAATGAATGAATGAATGAATGAACGAACGAATAGATGAATTAATTAATCAGTCAACAACAACATCAATCCAACCACCACCAAAAACAACAGCACCAACACTACCAACATCACTCCCAGCAACAACAACAACAACAGAAGCAACAACAACAACAACAACGAAACTCACTGCTCCCTTCACAAAGACCCTAATCTTTCCGTTCGGTTCCTCGACGACGATGGTCATCCTCTTGCGGTCACTCGTGAAATCGATGACGTTTAATATCTGGTATTTCCGCTGTTCGTTACGCTGTGTGCGTGCGTCTGTGAAAGTATCTGTGTGTTGTACGTGTGTGCGTGTGTGTATGTGTGCGTGCGTGTGTATGGTCCGTCTTCTTTCAATTAATCTTTAATTTTAGAAGGAGAAACAAAATTTTGATCGTTTGTTGGTATGATCGTATGTATGTTAGTGTATGTGTATGTATGTGTATGTATGTACGTGTGTGTGTATGTGAGTGTGTGTGTGTGCGTACAAGTAAACGTCAACAAAAACAACATAACAAAAACACATATAGACCGCTCGAGCGCTAATTGCATAAGGAGTTCTTGTCGAGAATTTTTAACATAAACAAAAATACAAACAAAAATACAAACAAACATATAAACAAACAAACATACATACAAACAAATATACTAACCACTTTAACGGTAATTGTATCAGGAGTTCTTCCAATGAATTTGTAATCAGCTTTTATCGCTCCTAATACTAAAGCTCTTTCATCTAATTGATATTTGTTTGTTAGTTCATTTGTTCGTTCGTTTGTTCGTTCGTTTGTCTGTTTGTTCATCTATTTGTTTGTCTATTCGTTTGTTTGTCGATTTGTTGGTTTGTCTGTTGTCGATAATGACAATTGTATGTTTGAGTGTTTAAATGTAAACTTGTGCACGTTTGTGTGTGTGTGTATGTGTGTATGTTTGTTGTTGCTACCGATGTTAATTGTTGTTTATTTTTATTGTTGTTTATTGTTTTTGTTTTATCCTCTTTGTCATCATCATCAGCAATACAACCTCCTCTTCCTTCTCCTCCTCCTCCTCATCATCATCATAACAACCACATCATCATCACAACCTCACCACAACAACCACATCATCATTATCATCATCAAAGCCACAACAACCACACAACCACAACTACAACAACCACATCACCACACTAACCACATCATCATCATCCTCATCAAAGCCACAACAACCGCACAACCACAACTACTACAACCACAGCACCACCACAACCACAAGAAGCTAACCAGGGCTTGCAGCCTGGTAATTAATTTCCTTGTTGGGTTGAGTTTCAGCGACAACAGTGTGGCAGATAGCACACATGGTCAGCAAGTCGTCCAGTAATTGGCTAACTCTACTCGAAGGTTGGCTGCTTGGCTGGTTGGTTAGCTGGTTGGTTGATTAGTTGGTTGATTGGTTAGTTGGTTGATTGGTTGGCTGGTTGGTTGGTTGATTGGTTGATTGGTTGGCTGATTGGTTGGTTGGCTGATTGGTTGGTTGGCTGGTTGGTTGGTTGATTGGTTGGTTGGTTGGTTGATTAGTTGGTTGGTTGATTAGTTGGTTGGTTGATTGGTTAGTTGGTTGGTTGATTGAAAAGATTGTTGGTTGATAAGGCGTTGATCAATTGTTGGTTGGTTGGTTGGTTGAAGTAAAGATTAACTGATTGATTGTTTGATCGGTCGATTTGTAAGCGATTGAGTGAACAAGTGAAAAAAAGAATAAACAGTTATTCAGTGCACATAAGCCAAATTGATAACCAACATCAGGTCTGTCGGGCGACCTGCAGAG